GATGCCTTTTTACAGTTCTGATTTAGGATCCATAGAAACAGTAGAGCCTAACTGCAGTGAAACAGTCATGGATTTGTACTGCTTTAAGAAAAAGGTTTTGTAGCCAGCGTTCCTAATTTGTCTTTTTATGTGCTTCTACAGGTGTTTGCCTTTGATCACTGCTTCTGGTCCATGGATGAATCAAACACCACAAAATATGCAGGTAAACTATTTTCCATATATTTGAGAGTGTAAGTAATTTGAGAACATATGAGACCTTGGGCTGTTGTTATGTGGAGTGTTTTTGCATTTTGTACCATGATGCTCAAGTGGCTTCACAGAAGCAGACTTCTCATTTTTACAGGGATTGAGTCATCTGAGTGCTAGTGCCTCAGTTTAGAAGGAATGCAAGTTTTAAGGTGCCTAGTGCACTGTTCAGGAGGAATGCTTTTACACCTAAGCTATAGTGTTCTTTTTTTATCCCCTGGAAGAGCCTTTTGTGAGGATTGTTTCTGCCACTTAAAACGAAATTTCAGTTCTGCATCAGAAATTACTTCTGACTAATGCTAGTGATTAACGTGTGTGTTTTCAATGCTCTGTGGTCCTGTGCACGGAAGAGGCGTAAAGCATGTTCTCCTCAGATGGTGTGGTCATTTCAGGTCTTTCAAGTCATTCATAGTCTGATTGTTGAGATCCCTGATGTATTTGAGTGATCAGCTTTGTGACTCCTTCCTCCCGAAAGCTGGATAATCCAGGCAAGATTGTAATCCCAGTAGTTAATTTTCCCATAACTGGATTTGTGTATTAGCATATTTGTACTTTATAAGAGGACTTGTTTTGATAGAGACAGCTGTGAACACTGGGATTTCAAGGCTGTGGTTCACGGAAAGAAGGAAAAAAAAAAAATAGCATCCAGTTTAGATATTCATATTATGAAGTTTTGTGGCCCATAGGAAATCTTGAAGGTTGATAGGATTAATTAGCTCCAAGTTTGAGATCAGTGGTCTAATAAATGAACTGTCATATACTTGTGTTAAAATATATCTCTGACTGCTGTAGCCTCTGGTATCAAGTCCCAAATCTTAGAGGTTGCACTTGATCATAGATTCCGCTGTATTTCTTACTTGCCTGAGCAAAGATAGGTTTCTTCAGGAAAAAAGTTCTGCGTCGGTTCATCTTTCAGTAACTGTGTTTGCACTGTGCAGGTGCACTGCGCAGTGTTATTAGTTCAGGCTGGTAGAGCCATTGGAGCGCACAGCACCTCCTTTTGTGCCTGCACGCCTCCGTTTCCTTTTGAAGGAAGGAGGTGATGCTATGCACGCAGATCTTGGCCCCATATGCCTCGAGTGTGCAGGTGGGAGCTGCACCTATTGGGTGCACCATGGTGCTAACCCACTTGTAGAGAAGAGGTGAACCAGAGGAACACCCCTAACCAGTTAAACTTGATTCTGTCTCAGTTTAACCCATCTCCAGGTGAATTCAGTGGGATTCTACATCTATTTATCTTTAATTTGAGTCAAAACTAGATTTCTCTAGCCTCTTTCAGAAGTTGTCATTGAATAATTCTTATCTGAGAACTGAAGTATGTAGATGAACCTCTTGTCAGACCAGACTCTAGAAAGCTGCCGCCCGCATCTCTTGCGTTTTCTTACTAGCCAGAAAGCTATAAGGTGGCTTTTTTGCCCATTCCAGATAATGTTCCTGCCTGGAAAAAAAAACAAACAACCAAATCCTTGTGTTTTTTCAGAAATATGATAAGAATGTGTGCTTCAAGACTTGCATATATAAAACCCCAATGCTTTCACTGATTTTTTTTTTTGTATGGTCTTGAAGTTAACTTGACTTCTAGCCCTCGTGTTCTAGAATATAATGGATTTGGCAGAATATCAAAATAAAAGTTAAAAAAAAAATCTGTTTCAGGCCTAAGTTACTGGGTTGTTGGCTTGTTCACTTGCTTGTGCATGAACTGATACTATGCTGTACTACAGTAGTGTTTCTTGTTTTAAAGCCAACAAAACAAATGCCAAAATGGCAAGATTTCAGTTTTTATATATTTGTAGTATTAAGGTGCCCTACGTTGTCTTCACAGCTTGACCTAAATTACTGTACTAAACAAAAAAATATGATAACTGGTTTTGGTTGGGGTTTTTAATAACTCCTTTGCCCCATGGAACAAACCCCCGTTGTTCTAGGCACCTTGCAAATATACAGGTTGTCTATGTCCAGAGATCGTACCAGAGACTGTTACAGAATTAACAAGCTTAAGACTCCAAACAAGCCACGTGACAGGCTGAGTTTTTGAGCTAAGCTGTAATGTCTTGGTTAGGTGCTGGACTACTGAAGGGGTGCTGATCTGGAACCTAGGCACAGATGCATTAAATACTCCCTGCCCAAACTAATTCTATGTGGATGCGTAAGTTTAATGTCATTGGCAAGATCAGTGATTAGTTGCACAATTAAAAGGAAACACATATAAAGCTTGAAAGCTAAGGCCAGAGTGCTTGTAAATGTAAGTAATGTATGAGCTTCAAGCTTAAGTAAAATTCTTGAAATAAAAAAAGGTATGTGAGAGAAATTTAATTACTTGAAAAACCCTTTTATCTGCATCACAGAAATACAGTGGAAGATGTGACAGTGGAAGGTTTAACAAGAGATTCTCAAGTACTAGGCTACCCTATTGGTCATCGTTCTCTGTGCAAAACCAAAACAATGCTCATCATGCATTATATTGAATAGATCTATTGTTGTGTATATCATACTATATTAAAGATTTTGTCAATTGACACGTGGGACATAGGAAAACCCACAGAATGGTGTGCACTACAGACAACGTGTTTGAATTCTGTGTTGACTTACGTGGATAACTCTTCCATGTTTTTATTTTTTTTAATGTCAACAAAACCAAAGTTCATGCTCTCCTGGAAATGCACCTTTGTTACAGGATCCTTAAAGCTATCACACATGATTAGGGGCACTTATTAATATTGTTTGCACAAGAACAAGATTCTTGTTTGAATAAACTTAATTGCATGGGTAACAAGTCTCAGGCTGTGGGGGAACAGGGCTGACCCTGAAATGGGATTAGCCATCTTTTTCTCTTATCTCACAGAATGGGTTTAGTGTATCTTAATCTTTTTTTGGCAGAAGTTAAGGCTTATTTTGTATGTACTAATTTTCTTTCTGAACTCATATTCAGGTAGTACAAGGGATCTTACTCCAGTTTAAAAGTTACCTTCTCTTTCCAGCATTTGAAAACATGGGTGTTGTTGCTGTGAAGACCTAATGCTGTGCATTTAGGTTCTAACTTACATTTCAGTAACTCCCTATGCACAAAGCGCTAAACTATCTCCCCGCCCCATGATTATGGTACAGAAGTAGGCTGTTGATAGCAGAATTGCTTTTTTAGCAATTTTTTTTCCAGTGAAGTGGAAATTAGGTTCTAAATTCTAAAATGATCCAGCATTATCACTAACATAAGTAGTGAAGATTATTTTCATGTGAGGAAAAACATCTAGAGAGGGCATCTTTGCAGCTGTCCTTGTAGGACTGTATCTCTCATGAAGACAGCAGGGAGTCTGGAGCACAGAAGAGGAATAAGCTCTTTCACAAGACCTTTGTGGAAGTGGTGCTTTGGTTTCAGATACTGCAAGAGATGGAGACTCTTTAACAACTTGATATCCCAGTTTGGAGATTGCAAGGTGCAGAACCCCCTCTGAATTGCTTTTAAGACTGAAAATGAAGTGTTTATGTTAAAAGTATTTTTTGTTTTAATTCAGCCAATTAGCAGGTAGAGGAGTGTGTACTGAGGCTGTGTGTTTCTGAGCAATTTGTGGCTACATTGTTCCAAGCAAGGAACTGTTGCAAACCTCTGGGTTTGTGCTGATCATCACATGCTAGCTCCTGGGCCTTTTTTCTGATTATTCAATTCTGAAAGACATAGTTGGGCATTTGGTGAGTATATAAGCCTCTTACCTGAAATGAAAAAAAAAAAGAAAAACAACCCCCCCCCCAAAAAAAAAACCAAAAAATGGGTCAATGACATAGATTTTTGAGGAGGGAGGGGAATTTGGTTATAGGACAGAAGAATGAGTTTGCCTTCATCTGGAAAAGGGATGAGCTTTGCCTGGTAGGCTATAGAAGAGGTATTTTGAGAGTATGCAAAACAGCTTCTTATTACCATTTGTTTCTTGACTTGAATGGGTCAAGAGTCAGTTCACGGATAAGGACACACCTGCTTGCCTTGAAAAGCTCACAGACACAAATAACAGCTCGGCATTTTGGTGAAGGGGAGGACGCTGAGAAATTCTCAGAGACGAGAACAAAGAATTCTTTTTACAAGCCTAGACAACAGTAAGAGCCTATTGAAGTCTGCAATGAAGTGGATTTTTAAAAGGAAGAAAAGAAACCGTTCAGTTTGGGAAGGATTCAAGAGATGGTATAAATAACTACAGTAGCACTTCGGCAGGTCCATTCCAAGGACCCCACGCTGTCTTGACTTGACCGTGGATTCTTCTTAAACTCCCTAAGCTGCATCACATTTGGCCTGAAATTTCAGATCTGTGTTTCTGCAGGCTGCGTTGTCCTGAGAGGCTAAACGCCTGACTTTGGGCTGAGCTATAATTTTATATGAAATATATATATGCTGACTACTGCTCTTCCAGCAGCTGTTTTAAAAGGAAACAAACCAGGCAAGTGGCTTAAAGAACGGTACACTTCTACCCTTGTGAAAGATTGTAAGTTGTAAGATCTGAGCGGACGGTAGAGTGTCTGTCTGTTTGTAGTTCAGGCCTACCCATTTAAGCTGTTACGTGAGAGAAGCCTATCCCTGTCTTACTGTTCCCTTGACTACTTTTTTTTTTAGAGGACACTCTACGTAGTATGTAGGAGTTAATTTTGTGTCACACAGCTGACACCTGACCTCTACATTTTTGGGGAAACTTGGTTATTCAGTATGATTTTAGCACTGTACGGGTCAGGCACTTAAAATGTAGGTGTTGCGGCATCTAATTTGAAGCACTCGAGACCTTTTGGTGGATTAAAGCTTTGAACATTAAAGACTCCAGTACTTTGTCAATACTGTAGTGTTAGGCTGCAGTAGTTAGATGATGCTAGCTGTTGTGCCTTTAGGTTCTTGTTAAGGTGAACCATAGGCATCTTTTTTCCAATTTTAGAGAGATTCTTTTGAAACTGTTGTCTAGCAGAGCTTTTAATAATTCTCCGCAGATCAAGTTTTATTTTAACTATTAGATCACGGAACCAACTGCAATTTATTGCTCTCAAGACTTGCTTATTAAAATCTTCTGGGTTAGAGATTAAACCGTAAAGAGACTTGACTTTTTCAGTGTTGTACGTAACAAGTTGTTATTTGGTTCTAGCTATTTTTGCCGTGTAAGTGAGGGGGTTTCAGGAACGGCAGTGCTGTGTCACAGCGTTGCAGTCATGACCTAGGTGAATGAATCTGTGCTAATATGAGACAATTATCCCTATTTCAGATTGACAAGTTGTTGTGACCTAGAAATACCAGACATCTAAAAACCAGGCACTGAAACTAATTTTTGTTGCAGTACATCTTGAATGTGTTTGTCACTAAATGAGCAGACCTTAGGAAAGACAGTAACTGTTAACTGCCTTTTTAAAAGGGGCTTTTGTTGGAAAGGGTGTGGCCCTTCTTCCTCCCCTCTCTTCTCTTCTGTCTGCTGTCACCAGCTCAGCAAACTAGAGAATGTTTAAACTTTATTTGTAAATAGCTTCATTTTGCAGATTGTGAGAACAGATTCTAGGGTTCCTCTGCAACGTGTAGGTTTCCCTAGGAACACTGTCAAACAGGGTCTCCTGACTGGGGCTTCAGAAACCATAAAGGAATGATTTGGAGGAAGAGAAGGGGAAAGAGCATAGAGATGTAAGAGAGAATACTTAAATATCTCATTCTGAAAATGATGTATTCTTGCATGTCAGGGTATGTATTTATCTTTCTATTTTCAGGGACTTTTTATTATCTTACATATTTTCAGAATGCAAATGTTCTAATAATTTATGCTGGCTCAGAGATTCCAACTAAGATTTTCACATGCAGCTCTGTGGGTAGATAATGTGAAGGTTTTATTTTAGAATTGTTAATAATTTAATAGCTACTATTAACATGTGCACTGCAACACTTTGCTACCTTTACTTTGTTTTATATTTTTGCCATTGAAATACCCAGCCATTTCAGTAGGTAGAGAACATGTGAAAAAACTCTTTAGCCTCAAAGTGCCATACTGAACACCCTTGATGCATGGTAATAGCAGAAGCATGGCATTTGAAAGTTCCAGGAATATATGTAGGTTAAAAATGTAAATCTGAGAGGAGGATGGGTTTCCTTCATCTTTCAAGTAAGTCACAGATACCATTCTTAATGCTGAAATCTTCAATATCTTTAGTATGGTTATTGCTAAAAAAGAAATGTTTATTATCTCGGTTTATGTGTTTATGGAAGAATGTCAGAGCATTTCAGAGTGCTGAACATGTGAAAATATTCAGTCCTAAATGCTGATGGAAAGGTTCTTGGGTTAGTCTCCTGCTGGAAGTGGCCTTCTGAGGAGTTGAGAGTTATTCATTTCATCTTAGATGTTTCTGCTGTTGGCATCAGGCTTGCAGTTGCGCTTGTCGAAATGCACAGATAATGTCTTGAAGCTATGAAGACAGTTACAGCTGTCCAGTGAGAGTGGAAAAGGTTTTCATATTGTCTTGACGTTGCTTTCCAGTACTCGGTTTCTTCAGAACCAAGTGGGCATCCACCAGTGTTTCTCAGGTTTTGATTAGCCGAGCATCCCTAACACTGGGTTAACAGGGTTTCCCACCTTGCAGCATTAGGGATGCTGCCATGTGCACAGTAACTAGAGTTATAGAGCATCCAGCAACATTGTCTGATAATCTTTCTCATTGCGTGATTCCAGGTTAATAGTCTTGCTCCTTGAAGTAGAGGAAACAAGATTATTTAGACTGTGGTCTGCAAGAAAAATTTACCAGACTTTGCTCCCTTTTCCTCGAAGGAGACAGGAGATCCTAGCCTGTAAGAATTAGCAGCTCGTACACTCATCCTGGGCTCCCTGACAGCCTTGGGTATGCTTTCCCCAGATTGACTGACTGCATGTCCATCAGTCACCTAAGGCTTGCCCGTGTTCTGAGCAGGAGATGGGAGAGGGGACGGGTGTTTCAGTGTCTGGCCTTTAGTTGCCTCTGTAAGAGGCTATATGGTCTTAGCCAGCTGGAAGATTGGGAATCCCTGTCTTAAAGACAATAAAGGTCAGTGTAGGGGTAATCTTTCTGTTAACTAAATAATTTTTTTTTCTGTATTTCTCCCTTTTTCTGTAAATTAAGTTAGAATCGAGTTAAAACCCCTGCTTACCTCTTTGACTACTAGGTGTCTGTGGAAGAAAAGTCCTGTAAATAACGCAAAAGTATTAATTGCAGGCTGTATAGGTTTATTTAGCAAAACAAAAATGTGGTAGTGTAGACAATGGAACTGCATTACTTCTTTTGACTGTACGTGCACGTAGACATAATTCTCTGCAATACAGATTTTGTAATCAGTTTGCAAACCCACTAATAAAATTCATGGGGGAAGCGGTAAGATTGCTTAATGAAAAATATCAAAATCTCATGGTTGATATGCTGCTGCCCTCAACAGTGTACTACATTAGCAAATGAATGAAATACCCATAATTGAAGTTTAATATCTTGTGTTCTTTTCTGTGAGTGCACTTAAAAACAAATTTTATTTTCTCCCATGATAATTTGACTGGTTAGTATAAACATCACTCTTCAATGACCCATTTGTCTATGTTTGTATTGCTGAGCTCTTAACTCTGTAATAAAACTATCATTTTAGAATTACGTATCAGTCTCTGACTTTCAGTTTTAGTGTTGGCCGTTTGAAAATTAAATCTCTTCTGAAAAAAAAATCCAGCCTTGTCTGTGAGATTCAAACTGGGTTCCTTTCCTGGTATTTAGCAGTAAGAGGTTCTGTAGGTCATCTTACGGCTATCATGACTGTGCACTCTTTTATAAGATTTTGGTATCTGTTTTTTCTTGGGAAACATGGAGGAGGTTACTGTTTTATTGCTGGTCAGAAGTGGGTAATAAAAGTTTTTTCCTTTTCTGACAAATGGTTTTATTCTCCACTCACAATCATTGTGGAATATATATGCTTTTTTTCTCTTAATAATTATACTCAGCTTCAGTCTTCGCTTGATTTTGCGTTCTTGCTCAGCAAGATAGTAAGTGGCTCTCTGCCTCTTTGATACTTGGTAACTTCAAAATGGGCCCTCAGCAGCCAGTTGGAAAGCAAATTTTTGTGTATTTTACGTTCTTATTAAAATCTTCCGCTGATAAATTTTCTTCATTCATTCTTTAGTAGTTTAACGTTCTCTATAGCTATTTCCATGTTGTTGAACAGTGCGCTCTCAGCATAGATATTGTAAAATGACCAAATGATCATAAGTCGAATGAGAATTGAATGAATGTGCATGGGGAAGGAGATGGCGTTATTCCAGAGTACAGCAGGTTCTCCTCTGGTTTTAATTCCTGTATTCAACATTTCTGAACTGTGTTAATCCAAGGAGCAGTACCACTTTGGCATTTTAGAAGTTCAACTGGAAAGATACACAAAGACCATTTGATAGGGCATTGCTGCACTAGTTCTTCCTTTACAGCAGAAGAGAAGTGAGGTTAAAGTTAAAGGAAAATAAAAGTAATGTGGTACTTTTCAGTCCTATTTACATGCCTGTAAACCATTCCACAATCATTCCACAGGTTGTTCTGCAGGAATTTTCTGGGCTACCAATTACTCAAGGATCATAGAGTGTAAATATTCTCATGCAGTGTATAAATGTATAGCTAGATTTTTTTTTTTAATGCCAGTATGTTCTATTTTGAGAACTATGGAAGTCACTATTGCATGCGCTGTACAAAATAATTTCTTGTAACTGACCACTGCTGAAACTAACTTACCTAAATGAGAGATGCAGCTGATCACAGCTGTTGAAACTCACCAGGCAGCAAATGCAAGTTTAAAACCAAACACCAGAAGGTGTATAAATGCTGTCCTTAGCTCAGCTCTGCTTGTTTTGGGCGTACACACAGCTGGTGTAATTCTCTGATCAGAACTCAAAGCAGACAACCCATTGACCCTCTTTGTGGTGTACAAATTCTGGGCTTTCCTATTAAAAAAACCCCAACCACTATGCCCAGTTTCATCTTCTACATCTAAAAGATTGAAGCGTGTCTAAATTCTGCATGGCACAGGGAGACAATTTTCAGACTATGAAATTCTGCAGCTGATGTTTCAAACTATGGATTTGCCAGAATATATCCTCAAACAGCTCTGTTGAAGTCTCGCAGCCTCCTAATATGCATTTCCTGCCTGAATGTCGTCGGAATGCTTTTATCTTGGTTCCAGCGTCACCTTGCCACGGGGTGAATCATAATAGCTTACAGTGAAACTTGAGGCCAGTTCCCAAGAGAACAACTACTATTATTTCTAGCATGATATTTGTTGTACCTCTAATATCCTAGTTCACTAATGGGTTTCATTGCAATTCTGTTACAGAACTCTTGGGTATAGTTTGTGATTAAAGCATGTATATTAATTGCAAAATTTACACTTAGATGTCTAAATTTTGTATTATTTATGTTATTTTCTAAGCATTCAACTTATATGACACCTTTCGAAGAACTGCTCCCTTCACAGGAAAATCAGCAATATATTTAAACACAGAGGCAGCTGTTACACTAGTTCAGGCAACAGTTTTGAACTTGTCACTCAGTTGTACATGAAATCATTTGTTTGTTCATCAGTGCACTCAATAGTAAAAAATAATTTGCAAACTTTTTTCTTGTTTCCAGTAAATTTTAGTCTCTCACTCAGTTTAAAATAAATGTAAAAATAATTATTTTCTAGGTCAAGAAGTGGTGTTCAAGTGCCTTGGAGAAGGAATTCTTGAAAAGGCCTTTCAGGGATATAACGCTTGTATTTTTGCCTATGGACAGACAGGTGAGTCTCCTGTGCTGAAGAGGAGAACGCTTTTTGTGCACATGGAAAGTGGGAAGAACAAAACATAAATATTAAGCTAGATAATATTTTAAAATTGTATTTTGAAATATCGTAATGTTAAATGTCAAACTTATAGCACAGCCAGTGCTAAATGTGAAGTTCTTACAGCAGCTCTGTAAATATGTTCCTAGTTGCTACCTGTTGGGGCCGCTTTCAAAGCCTAAAAAGAGTAGTTCATACTGAAGGCTTATTCAGTCTTTTGTGTTTGAATGTGTTCAAAGGGGTCCCAAGTAACGGCCCTGCTGAAAGAAACCTTGAAGATAATTTCTCTTTTGTTTACCTGTACCCTGAGGTCCAAAGAACAAACTATCTGTCTGGAATAGCATGTCATGTTGTTCTGGTATGAGCTTCTGGAAGAATAAAAAGAGAGTTAGAATATGTGCTTCATGAACAAATTAGTAGCTCAGAAACTACATTCTAAACCATTTTCTTCTCCTTTTTTCCTTTAGGTTCAGGAAAATCCTTTTCAATGATGGGCAATGCAGAGCAGCTGGGTCTGATCCCACGGCTCTGTTGTGCTTTATTTCAGAGAATTGCTGTGGAAGAAAATGAATCTCATACTTTTAAAGTCGAAGTGTCCTATATGGAAATCTACAATGAGAAAGTCAGAGATCTGCTTGACCCAAAAGGGTGAGTAGCTTCACTCTCCCCCACAGCCTTCCTTATTTTTGTCTGAAACTATAAAAGTAGAGATCGCTTTTGGAAGTCCTTGAGAAGGTTTTTTTCAGAATGTACGTTTATACGACTTCCTTAGAAAGGATTAGATACCAAACACCAGAAGGAAGAGAATATCCATGTAAAGCTTGTATATGAAGTAGTAACTGGCGTGGATCAATTTAAATATTAGGATACCATCATAATGATGCAAACAAATACTGTATGAAGTAGTTTACCACCAGAAAGCAAGACTATGTACAAGTAAATTCTGGGGTATTTTTGCCGTATGATCCAGACCATATTCAGGTATGAATTTTCATCAACTAGGAGGAGTGTGAAGCTTATTTACAACTTAGTTCTCCTGGTTTAGACGTTGAACTTCTTGAATGTGGAAGGGTAACACCTCAGAATATACTCATGGCACTCTTTCTTCCGTTTTGTCTACACAAAAGTACTGGTTAGGCTCTCTGGCTTGGAGATGACTAGACAAGAGGTAGTTTGATAGGTTTGTTTCAGCTGAGCATTGATATGTGGTATATATTTTGATTCTTGAACATAATTGCGCTAGGCGAAGAAGTATGCAAGTCAGTTTAAAGGTAGATTAGAGACTTACTTGATGTATGTCAATGAAGTGTGGAAAATGCAAGAAGAATTGATGCTTTAGCAAATTGCTGGGGAGAGGGGGGAGGATTTTTGTTTTTCCTTTTTTGTCAGCATTCTGTCTGCCAAATAAGGCATTTCAAGTTTTGTTCCCTCCACAAATACTGGGGTGGGAGGATGCATTAAAAATAATTCATGTATATAGATTAAAACTGGTTAGATTAATTTGAGTCTTTATTGTTGATTTGAGTTAAAAACAATTTTGGAAGACTTTTTTCCTCCTGTTACAATTAAAAGACGTAAATTGACTTCTGCTATATAGAAGATTCTTATAATTTCATACTATAATTTTTATTTTTCAATAAAGTTCACACTAGTGGGCTGTGCATAAAGTCTATTTTATTCCACAGGAGTCGGCAGTCCCTTAAGGTTCGAGAGCACAAAGTGTTGGGACCGTACGTAGATGGCCTGTCTCAGCTGGCTGTTACGAACTTCGAGGTAAATCTAAACCAATGGCAAGTTTATAAATAACACCTGTGTACATAAGCAATAGGAATCTTATAAGAGATAAACTGGTGTCTGTCCGAACATTTTGATTCTTGAGTGTTTATGGTCTCTGGCAATTGCAAAGATCTTCTCTAATGCTGCAGGAGTATTTATTTCATGTAAAAGCATTGGATTTGCCTTTACGTTGGTTTAAAAATATAATAGTGGTATCTCTTTATTTTGCAGTTTTCAATGCATATAGTATATACCAAGAACACAATGTTTCCTTGACACAGGAAATGTGAGGCTTCCAAAATATGAATATTAGTCTTAGAGCATGAATTCCTTTGATTTTGTTGTTGAATACGACCTCTTATTTTATACCGGTATATTTCATGAGGAGCTACAACGTGGCTTATATAATTCATAATTTAAATCATGACGGCATCTGAGCCCGCTTCAGTTAGCAAAACACATTCAAATAAATCAGTATTGTAGAAGCCAATGAACTACTATAGCTACAATGGAAATAATTAAAGCGGTGCAGTTGTATGAATTGCGTAGGCCTTTCTTTTTATGAGGAAGCTGATTTGAAAATGTTGTTTTTAAAAAAAAAAAGTTCATTCTTTGTGTAATATGTGGGAACCATTTTGCTTTTTATGGGGATTTTTATTTTTCTGAAGCATCTGTGCATATTATGGAGTTAAACTGCTTTTGCAGCTTTTATGGTGAATTGCGTACTTTGAAAGCTCACCTTTGTTAAAATGCTCGGAAATTTTGTTCATGCCTAGTTTTTGGCTGATGACTCTTATGAAACTCTCTTGGAAGACTCAGCAAGTACATATAGAGACTCGGCATAGTCATCTTTGTTTTCACATATGTGGGGAAGGTACAGGCTCCAAGTGAGGTAACCCTTCGAGCCAATTAAGTGAAGATAGTATTAGTGCAATTCAGTAAAGAGATGCATTGCGTTCACTTGTGTAAGTAGATCTGTGCTGGCCTGATTACTGGCATTAAACAATATGATTTGTAATGTGGATGTTGCCAGCATACTTCAGCAGCAGATAAGGAGAAGGTGCATTGAACGTAGTTGCTGGGCTTTTAAGCCCAGTACTTAAAACAGGGATGTGATTTAACGTCATTCTGTGGAATTACATACCCTCTGTACCAATACATCTCAAAATGTGCAAAGAATTTTCTCATTACTTCTACCTTCTTCTTCTCTCCTACACATACACACCCTTCCATCTAGATGGGGATTTTGTTCAGCAAGCACAATACTTGCTTTTATCCTAGCATCATTTTTTACTCTTTTTGCTCTAGGATATTGAGTCACTGATGTCGGAGGGAAACAAATCACGAACAGTTGCTGCAACCAACATGAATGAAGAAAGCAGCCGCTCTCATGCTGTATTCAATATTATAGTGACTCAGACACTTTATGACCTGCATTCTGGTGTATGTATTTCTGTTGATTAATTTATGAAGTTCTGGTGAATTCTTCTTCCTTCCTCTTCCACATACATTATCTGTTTAGCTGTGCTTCTACCTTTAATGCCATGGGGTCCAGTAATCAAAGTAATATTGGCAAGACCGTAAGATTGAGAGAACCCTGGAAGAGTGAAGAAGCACACCAGATAAAGCAAACAGTTGGATCACTTTTTAAGATTATATTCCCATCATGAAACCTGTCTTAAGTCTTAACTGTTGCTGAAGTTGATATGTTTTAATGGCCTACTCTACCAGTAAGGTTATTGATGTTACCACACTGCTGGTTCTGGTTCATTACTGCTTCAGCCCTTTACTATAAAATACATGAATGACTCTTAAAGAGCTATAAAAACTCTGACAATTCCTTCTTCTCTCATATCTTGAATTTGATACTTTAACCTACATTATTATGAAGAACAGTGTTCCATGCTGCCAGTGTCAGACATGTTAGCACTTTGTGCCGGTGTTTCTTAGCTGTTGTTCTTCCATGTCCCATCTGTGTAGAATTCTGGAGAGAAGGTCAGCAAGGTCAGCCTGGTGGATTTGGCTGGGAGCGAGAGAGTGTCCAAAACGGGAGCTGCAGGAGAACGCCTGAAGGAAGGCAGCAACATAAACAAGTAAGACATTGGCATATGCAGGTCGCAAAGCTTAATCTTTTAAGAATGACTGTTGTTTCCTTGGCCTCTTCTCTTGGTGTGCTTGTCACAAGTTAGTTCAAATAATAGACCTCGTCAGAAGCAGTTTGATATGGCTCTTTCAGCTGCTCTGTGCTAAAGTACCATGTGTTTCTTTACATTGGCGTGGGGACCCTGATTCATACTTGACTCGGATGAGGGCTGTATGAATTTTATCCGGAAAAAGTGACAGCAGCGCTCTTTAATTAAGCGTATACCTGTTATGATTCATTTATACACCCTGTCCCCAGGCTCATGTGTTTGTCTCATCATCTGCTCAAGGAAGAATGCAAAGTTGCAGAGTTGAATGGCTTTGTTCCAACATGTATTAAAATATGTAAGAGCATAATTCACAGTTTAAGAAAACTGGATCAGAATGAAGCTGTGTTAGTTTAGCATTGCCTTGGGCATTTGTACTCAAGCAATGACAAGTTTCAAGGCACTTTTTTACCGTAATTACTGTGTTATTGCCCAAAAGCAAGAATTTAGCACATTATTACCGCTGTCTTAAATATACCAATTTTCCTGGGGAAGAAAGAGTTTAACTGTTACATTAAATTGAAAAAGCAGTAGCTCTTAATTTTAAAATGTTACAAAATGTTTTGGTATTTTAAGTTAACAATGACAGCACAAAGCGTGTTTGAACAGCATTCATGCTTAAAATGATTTTAAATTACCTCTTTTTAGAGTTTGAACGGTTGCTCTTTTTAGCTTAATTTCTAATCTACTTTGTGTTTAATGCATCATATTGGCAGCCATGCTGGCATAGTCCTTGTGAAACAAAATGATGTGGCTCTGTTTGTCTAACATAATGGCAGGTATTGTACCTTTATGCCACAGGTTACTAGTTAAATTCAGATTGGTTTTACTAGAAACTGTATTTGTATTTTGCATAAACAAAAGTGAGATTAAATGTTTCTTTCTAATTCTTGGGGAAGAATTCAAATGCCAACTCTCCCAACAGCTATTAACAAATTGCAAGTGTAGCTATAGATAACAGAAAGACTTCCCCTTTTTTTTCTATTAGGATGCTTACTCACTGTTAAACTTTTAGGGCATTGATGCAGTAAGTGGAGGTTGTTTTGCCCATGCTGAACCTCTTTAACAATACAGGACTTCAGAAGTAAGCACCAAACTTTTCTGTAAAAGATATTTTAAAAACAAAAGTGGACAGCTCTACGTTTTCCCATCAATTAAATTTTTATATGGTATAAATCTGTATTACTTAGAGAAGGCTTAATGAATGGACTATTTGCAATCTTTCTTGGAACTGATAGGCAAGAGAATTCTTAGTGCTGTGCTTGGTGTCTTCTGTTAGACTTTTGCTGTTACGTGGAGCTTTAATGAAGTCTGACTTTTACTGGAAGCCTCAGAATTAGTATACATGTTTTAATAGACTAGTTCTTCAGAGAACATTGTGTATGATCTTCTTTTGGGTGTGATGCACCTTACTTATTAGGGAAAGGCAATAATCTTTTCTGGAGTAATACAGAATACTTAAACCATACACTTTACTATGTTGGCTCCTTTTTAAATTATTTTTTTATTCTTTTATGAAAAAGCAGTAACTTAGATTGGTACCATGTGCTATGTTTAATGAGATCAAAAATAGAGCTGCTGAAATTACCTGGCAAATAAATTTGCTTCTTGCGCTGTGTTTTGTTGCCTCGAAGAAGAATGTGGAAATGACATACCTGTTTATGTATTCACAAGACAGGGAAAATGTACCCTCAGCTGTGCATACCAAAACTGCGTAGTGTGATGTTCAGCCAGTCTCCGCAGGTTTCTCTGCTCTTCGTTTTCTGCATGAAACCTGGCTAGGGCTCTGGC